CCTCATACATCAGGCTAGCATACTCTTGGAGTAATTTCCTCACCAGGGTGTTGGCAGCATGCCTTTAAAACTATAGTGCCTTAGTGATGAATATCGGGGTGACTTCAATCACCTTCCCCCTCACATTTGTCTTCAACAAACACAAATCCTTATCCACCACCTCCAACTTTTTGAAAACATTATTGATAAAGGGGAAGCACATACCGTCTCATGCAAGGGTCATTCTTCTTTTTCTTCCTTTCCTCCCCACTATGGGGGTCCGACTCTTCAGACCTCTTGCTAGACCTAGTTCCTGCTTGAGGTGCTAAGATAGGTCCAGTTTGCTTCGTGTAGGCCATCACAATAAAAAATACCCCTATGGCAATCAACGACAGCAACCACCCCTGAAAAAAATTCAAAGGCCAAAAGATGAAGGGGAAGACTTACCCATTCTAGGCATTGTGAAAATATCTAAGCTTTGAGTGGAGATCACTGCTTTAGGTGGAATTAGTGATGTTTTGTGGAGAAAAAAGAGTTTTTAGGGGAATTGAAGTTAAGGACTCTCGAGGAATCTAGAAAATAAGGGAGAAAATTGGTGGATTTGAAGTGGTCAAATTGCAATATTTTTTGGTTTAACTATGAGGTCAAACCCACAGGGAGCTAACTGTTAGGATTTAAAACAAAAATGGTAAAATTGTTGTGAACGTAGTGTGTAATGGAATAGCTTGTGGTGTGAGCTTAAAGCTATCAAATAAACACCTAACTAAAACTTTGAAAGACAATGATAAAAAGGTACTCTTCAATTTGGGGTTCCAACATGCATTATATTGTTCATTTATGAAAATGCAACCTTATTGCTTGCATTGCGTTCACCCTAATCTCCGACCATGATTCCGATAATGTGTGTGTGGCTTATACAGTTAGGTGAGTGTCACTCTTCCTCAGATATCATGCAATAAATGGGGAAAATGTGTGTGTGAAATGAAAATGTGTGTGTGTGTGTGCAAAAGTGTTTGCCAAGCAAAGAGAGGCTTTCAAGTGTCATGTTTTACTTGGAATTAAGTATTCCAAGGTCAAATCCCCAAGGAAGGAAGGTTGAATCGTGTGAAGGTGATTTTGTAAAAATTGAAAAGTATAAAATATTTTGAAGTTGTGTTTTGATGAGTGGAGTATTTGCTAAAGATGTAATGGAAAGAAGGTAGGCTAATCCGAAGAGGTCATTCCAATGGGAATGCCAAATCAACTCAAAACATTATTACAATGGTGCCTAGGTGTTCGATTGATTCGTAGGAAGTGAGGAACTAAAATAGAGGAGGAGGCTCAAGCATACCCCATGACAAGTCTATGGTGTATCAAGCACTCACAACCATGTCCGCACTAATCCTAGTCAAACCAAAGACTTTACACAATGAGGGAGAATGGAGGAGTGTTGATTTAGTATACCTTAGAGGAAATCTCCCTTGGATTAGCCAACATAAAACTTAGCTACTCATATTAAATGCAAAGACGTACAATGTAGAAAGATACATGGTAATAAAATGGAAATTAAAACTTGTATTAATGTAAATAAAAGTTAACTACAAAGATAAGTGCATTTAAAACCCAACTAAAAAGCTTGAAGTGAAAAACTCATAAGTAACAATGGTAGATTCAAAGATACATGACTAAACTTGCAATACACTTGAAATAAATGATATTAAAGTGCATTGAATGAATATTACAAGAGTCACAGACCTTACTACAAGTGAAATGGGTAGGAAAATGCAAAAATACAAACTTTCTCTCTCTAAAATTGTCTTATTCCTTGAGCTTCTCTCTCTATAATGCTGAATAATTCTCTACCATGGTGTAACTCTTGCATTTTCATCCATGAGCCCCTATAGCTATGTGTGCAGGCCTCCTATCAATGGGGGGTTGAGTTGATGGCTTGGATAGGCTAGGACAAGCCTAGCCAGCAACTCCATAGGTGTCCTCCTTCTCTTTCTTTGTCATTAATGTCTTGGCCTCCAAAGTCCAACCTTAGGTATAGGGAGGCATGTATGTAAGTAAAATATGTAAGGGAACAAGTGGGAGAATCATAGGTGGGATCCTCACTTGGCAGAGCTTGACTTACAGGTGTCTAGCAATTTTTAGCAAAACCTTCTAGAAGGTCGGAGCAAAACCTTCCGGAATGTTTTGGCAGGGGCAGAGGTAAAATAAAAATATTAAACAAAACCTTTTACAAGGTTTGCGGTAGGTTATACTCTTGTGTGTAAAACCTTCTAGAAAGTTTGAGGTAGTTCTAACTCTAATGTGCAAAACCTTCCGGGAGGTTTTGGTAGGGGCATTGTCTTTGCCTTTACAGTTTGCAAACCATCTGAAAGGTCTATGACCAAACCTTCCAGAAGTTTTTCACCTGAATTGCATTTTCCTTGAACTCGTTGCCTTCCAAGCCTCTTGTTAAGCCACCCCCAATCTACATTGACTTTGAACACTACGAAGGGGGCTTAAGTAAAGCCATAACCAATATTTTACCTACAATCACATAACAACTTCATTAATTGATTGATTCTTTGTATTTCTTCTCATTTTCACCACAAACAAGTATAAAAGGGTGTAAAAGCATACATAATGTGCAATATTTTGTGCCAATCACCTAGAACAAATTACTCCCATTTTACTGGAAAGCTAACTGGTAGGTTTGATGTATATTGAACCATAACACATCAACTAATTAGATTAGTCGGAAGGTTTTTGTACCTTGCAACAATCAAACCANATTATGCAACTGATCCTTATACTTGAGACACCATGGTTGTCTTGTGCTTGGACTTCTATGCTTTAATTGTAAAACATATTTATATACTTACCATGTAACTTGGATATGTATTGTTGGACATAGTTAGACATGCATGGAGATTTATGAGTGTACAACATAGAATTTATCACCCTTGGTAAATAAAGGGAAAATGTCTTATGTGATCTTCTATGATATGACTCAAGGAGTCCCTAGCTAAGGCAGGACAACAATTAGAAAAAGGTTTCTAATTGATCATTAAGAGTCATAGTCCTAAGATTAAACACATCAGAACGAGTTAGGGTTTTGATAGTATTTCCATACACTAGTAATTTAGTTGCGGCATTATGTGATAGAAGGATTGAATTGCATGACAACTGTAGACTGAATGGGTTCTTTGCCTACTTCATGCATTATGGAAGTTGATCATGACTCATTCTATCACACAATGAGATTAATATNTTATGCTTTAATTGTAAAACATATTTATATACTTACCATGTAAATTGGATATGTATTGTTGGACATAGTTAGACATGCATGGAGATTTATAAGTGTACAACATAGAATTTATCACCCTTGGTAAATAAAGGGAAAATGTCTTATGTTATCTTCTATGATATGACTCAAGGAGTCCCTAGCTAAGGCAGGACAACAATTAGAAAAATGTTTCTAATTGATCATTAAGAGTCATAGTCCTAAGATTAAACACATCAGAACGAGTTAGGGTTTTGATAGTGATTCCATACACTAGTAATTCAGTTGCGGCATTATGTGATAGAAGGATTGAATTGCATGACAACTGTAGACTGAATGGGTTCTTTGCCTACTTCATGCATTATGGAAGTTGATCATGACTCATTCTATCACACAATGAGATTAATATAAATATATTAATTGTTCTTCATAAAGGGAGAATTAGAAAAGTTATAATCCATGCTAAATTAGAAAGAGTTATAATTTGAGATGCTACTTTTAGTTAGTATCAAATGCCTACAACCGGGTATGCTTGAACCTATAGGGTCCAACACAATATAATTGATTGGAAACTAATGGATAAAGGATAGACAACCAATTAAGAGTTAATTGGAGTGAAAACCTAATTAAGAGTTAATTAGGGACTTTATTACAATTAATGGTTAATAAAGGGGTTATATGTAATTATGAGATAATTGCAACTTGACCCAAACTAGGATTAGAACCTTTAAAGCTCTATAAATACATTCATGTAGTAGGTGGATATAAGATATAACAACTATTTTACCAGCACAAGAAGAACCACCCCTAATTCTCTCTCTACTAGTTTATCAATGGTTGAAGTAGATCCTCCAATTTTTTCAATTCGCATGGATACCGATAGACACCAAATAGTTGTGAGGCTTGGGGTAAAGATCAAATTCAGGTTTGAAGATTTAAAATTTTGAGAATGCTTGAAGATTGTTAAAGGCACGTTTCAAGAGATAACCCTTAATCTCCTTTATAGATCTAAGGTTTCTCGATTTGTATTAAACATGAATAAATTTTGGTATAAGGAAACAAATTATTATTTTTCTAAATTTTGCTGCATTTAATATATGATTCCTTTCCATCGAAGTCATCCAATCTCCCCTTGATCCCAGCTAGAGCGGAGAGACCGTCAGAGGCAGATCAGCAGCAGATGGCTCAGCTGTGAATGGTCCAGCTGTAGATGGCCTAGCACTCTCTTCTCTATGTGTAGACCCTCTTGACATGGTCGTGCTCTTCATGCTGCTCAGCTTGCCTATGGGGCCAAACTCTAGATGTAGTGTCATGAAAGTAGCGATGCCTTTAACCTTGGCATGGTAGCATATCTTTGTGACAAGTTGGGAATAACGAAGGTTTGCCCTCGGTTTTGTAGTCAGGGCATAGTCCTTCAACAAACTCCCAGATCATCACAGATATGTCCATCCTAGTGCTAGCCATGAATGCAAAGAGGAGGGCTATCCCCCGGTGTCTTCTCCTCCATGGGCTTCTCACTACTTTATTCATCACCCCATACGAATGCTTGAGTGCCTCAACTAGGACCTTCACATTGAACTGTGCAGGGTCCTCATACATCAGGCTAGCATACTCTTGGAGTAATTTCCTCACCAGGGTGTTGGCAGCATGCCTTTAATACTATAGTGCCTTAGTGATGAATATCGGGGTGACTTCAATCACCTTCCCCCTCACATTTGTCTTCAACAAACACAAATCCTTATCCACCACCTCCAACTTTTTGAAAACATTATTGATAAAGGGGAAGCACATACCGTCTCATGCAAGGGTCATTCTTCTTTTTCTTCCTTTCCTCCCCACTATGGGGGTCCGACTCTTCAGACCTCTTGCTAGACCTAGTTCCTGCTTGAGGTGCTAAGATAGGTCCAGTTTGCTTCGTGTAGGCCATCACAATAAAAAATACCCCTATGGCAATCAACGACAGCAACCACCCCTGAAAAAAATTCAAAGGCCAAAAGATGAAGGGGAAGACTTACCCATTCTAGGCATTGTGAAAATATCTAAGCTTTGAGTGGAGATCACTGCTTTAGGTGGAATTAGTGATGTTTTGTGGAGAAAAAAGAGTTTTTAGGGGAATTGAAGTTAAGGACTCTCGAGGAATCTAGAAAATAAGGGAGAAAATTGGTGGATTTGAAGTGGTCAAATTGCAATATTTTTTGGTTTAACTATGAGGTCAAACCCACAGGGAGCTAACTGTTAGGATTTAAAACAAAAATGGTAAAATTGTTGTGAACGTAGTGTGTAATGGAATAGCTTGTGGTGTGAGCTTAAAGCTATCAAATAAACACCTAACTAAAACTTTGAAAGACAATGATAAAAAGGTACTCTTCAATTTGGGGTTCCAACATGCATTATATTGTTCATTTATGAAAATGCAACCTTATTGCTTGCATTGCGTTCACCCTAATCTCCGACCATGATTCCGATAATGTGTGTGTGGCTTATACAGTTAGGTGAGTGTCACTCTTCCTCAGATATCATGCAATAAATGGGGAAAATGTGTGTGTGAAATGAAAATGTGTGTGTGTGTGTGCAAAAGTGTTTGCCAAGCAAAGAGAGGCTTTCAAGTGTCATGTTTTACTTGGAATTAAGTATTCCAAGGTCAAATCCCCAAGGAAGGAAGGTTGAATCGTGTGAAGGTGATTTTGTAAAAATTGAAAAGTATAAAATATTTTGAAGTTGTGTTTTGATAAGTGGAGTATTTGCTAAAGATGTAATGGAAAGAAGGTAGGCTAATCCGAAGAGGTCATTCCAATGGGAATGCCAAATCAACTCAAAACATTATTACAATGGTGCCTAGGTGTTCGATTGATTCGTAGGAAGTGAGGAACTAAAATAGAGGAGGAGGCTCAAGCATACCCCATGACAAGTCTATGGTGTATCAAGCACTCACAACCATGTCCGCACTAATCCTAGTCAAACCAAAGACTTTACACAATGAGGGAGAATGGAGGAGTGTTGATTTAGTATACCTTAGAGGAAATCTCCCTTGGATTAGCCAACATAAAACTTAGCTACTCATATTAAATGCANTTTACTCCCATTTTACTGGAAAGCTAACTGGTAGGTTTGATGTATATTGAACCATAGCACATCAACTAATTAGATTAGTCGGAAGGTTTTTGTACCTTGCAACAATCAAACCACCCTATTAAACTAGAAGGTGAACCATTCNGAAAGATACATGGTAATAAAATGGAAATTAAAACTTGTATTAATGTAAATAAAAGTTAACTACAAAGATAAGTGCATTTAAAACCCAACTAAAAAGCTTGAAGTGAAAAACTCATAAGTAACAATGGTAGATTCAAAGATACATGACTAAACTTGCAATACACTTGAAATAAATGATATTAAAGTGCATTGAATGAATATTACAAGAGTCACAGACCTTACTACAAGTGAAATGGGTAGGAAAATGCAAAAATACAAACTTTCTCTCTCTAAAATTGTCTTATTCCTTGAGCTTCTCTCTCTATAATGCTGAATAATTCTCTACCATGGTGTAACTCTTGCATTTTCATCCATGAGCCCCTATAGCTATGTGTGCAGGCCTCCTATCAATGGGGGGTTGAGTTGATGGCTTGGATAGGCTAGGACAAGCCTAGCCAGCAACTCCATAGGTGTCCTCCTTCTCTTTCTTTGTCATTAATGTCTTGGCCTCCAAAGTCCAACCTTAGGTATAGGGAGGCATGTATGTAAGTAAAATATGTAAGGGAACAAGTGGGAGAATCATAGGTGGGATCCTCACTTGGCAGAGCTTGACTTACAGGTGTCTAGCAATTTTTAGCAAAACCTTCTAGAAGGTCGGAGCAAAACCTTCCGGAATGTTTTGGCAGGGGCAGAGGTAAAATAAAAATATTAAACAAAACCTTTTACAAGGTTTGCGGTAGGTTATACTCTTGTGTGTAAAACCTTCTAGAAAGTTTGAGGTAGTTCTAACTCTAATGTGCAAAACCTTCCGGGAGGTTTTGGTAGGGGCATTGTCTTTGCCTTTACAGTTTGCAAACCATCTGAAAGGTCTATGACCAAACCTTCCAGAAGTTTTTCACCTGAATTGCATTTTCCTTGAACTCGTTGCCTTCCAAGCCTCTTGTTAAGCCACCCCCAATCTACATTGACTTTGAACACTACGAAGGGGGCTTAAGTAAAGCCATAACCAATATTTTACCTACAATCACATAACAACTTCATTAATTGATTGATTCTTTGTATTTCTTCTCATTTTCACCACAAACAAGTATAAAAGGGTGTAAAAGCATACATAATGTGCAATATTTTGTGCCAATCACCTAGAACAAATTACTCCCATTTTACTGGAAAGCTAACTGGTAGGTTTGATGTATATTGAACCATAACACATCAACTAATTAGATTAGTCGGAAGGTTTTTGTACCTTGCAACAATCAAACCACCCTATTAAACTAGAAGGTGAACCATTCAAAAGGTCTACTATAGTTATTTAATTGGCATGTTGACGATTCAATGATGATGGAGTTCTAGTTTTTGCATTGAATCAAAAGCATTGGCTATGACAAGATTTAACCCTTATAAAACCAATATGCCAATTGTTACATAAAGCCTAACTACGTATATCACTGTATCATGCATGAAGTGCATAATAATTATAGATAGTATGATATATAGTGCTAAGCTCTGCTCGGTGTTTATTACCACGTGCATATTATAAATATAATCATGCACCAATTAAGAGAGCTATAAACATTATAGTATAATTAAAACATCAACATTTCCATAATGTGAACAATATTACACATGTATTCACCCTTCACCGAAGAATGTAAATGGATTACTCGCGCCTCATTGCTATAAATGAGCAAAAGGAATGATATAAACTCATTATAACCGTAAACAATATGCAAAAAGTTATTTCCCAAGGAATAGCCAAAACACTACCACTCATATTATCGGCTAGGGGAAAAAAGTGGGAGAGGTTCAACCCTACTAGTATAAAGGATAAACATAAATGTAGAAGTAGAGGAAATTATAGCTAGAAAATGATTATGGTAGGGCCTTATTCGTCCTTTCATTCTCTCTTTCCTTCCTCCTTGCCTAGACTAAACTCTAAAAAAAAACTCCCTGAAAAAATGGCTGAAGCAGGCTATTTATAGGCACCAGAAGGAGGCTTGAGGCTGAAGACACCCTATTCATCCAATCACAGCCTTTTGTTGCTCAAGTGGACCAATAGGAGAGGAGAGGGAGTTAAGGCGGTTAAAGGACCATCCAAAAATTTTTGATTGGCATTCACCCTAATCTCTGAACATCAACCGGTCATGAATATAAGGCTTTTATGAGTAGCGAAGTGTCACTATCCCACGGGTTTAATGCTAGAAATGGGTAAAATGTGTGTGTGGATGAAAGAGTGTGTGTGTGCAAAGTGCTCTCCAAGCGAAAAGAGACTTTCGAGTGTTGTGTTATACTTGGAATACCCATTCCAAGGTCGTCTCCTCAAAGAAGAAAGGTCGAATTGTGGTGAAGGTGACTGTTTGAAAAATAAAAAGTGTAAAATCTTGAAATTTTGTGTTTTGGTGAGTGGAGTTTTTGATAGAAATGAAATGAAAATAAGGTTGGCTAATCCGAAAGGGTCATTCCAATGGCAATGCCAAATCAACTCATAATATTATTCCAATGGTATCTCGGTGTTTGATTTATTCATAGAAAGTGAGGGACTAATGTGGAGATGTAGGCTCAAGCATTCCCCATGACAAGTCTTTGACACATCAAGAGCTCACAACCACGTCCACACTCAACCTAGTCAAACCAAACACCTTACACTACGAGGAAGAATGACGCAGAGTTGATTTAAAATACAAAAGAGGAAATCTCCTTTGAATTAGCCAACAAAAAACTTAGCTACTTCTAATGGATGGAAAGACATGCACAATGTAAAGAGACATGGTAGAGAAATGAAGCATGGAACTTATATTAATGAAAGAAAAAAGTTAAACTACAAGTGAAATTGCATTCATGACCAAAATATAATAATTGAAAGCAAATACCCAAATTTAGAACCTGAAATGCCTCAAATACTTAGCTAAGTTTGCATACAACTTGAATGAAAGAGTTGAATGTGAAAATGGGAAAGATTACAAGTATTTGAAAGCTTACAACACTAAAAAGGGTAAAGAAATATGAAAACCCAGCATTCTCTTTCTAACTTCATCTTCTTCCTTACGCTTTCTATCTCTAAAACTACTCCTAAGTTTATGTAGCCTCCCCCATCAAAAGCATGTGTGAAGCTGAATAAATGGTGTTGGAATTAATGCATTTTCATCGATGAGGCTCTCCTAGCCTGTGTGTGCAAGCCCCCATTAATGGGAGGTGAGGTGATGCAATGGATAGGCTAGGACAAGCCTAGCTTGCACCATGCCTCCCTCTTTCTCTTTGCTCCTTTCCCATCATCCATCTTCCAAAGCTGACTTTAGAGTATAAGTAGGAAAGTATAAATGTAGAATATGTTAAGGAACATGTGGGAGAATCATAGTTGGGACCCCCCCCCAGCAAGTGCAGCTTGAGTTGCATAAGTCTGGCATTTTCGGGCCAAACTTTCCAGAAGGTCAAATGAAAACCTGCCAGAAGGTTTCAACGGTGGAAACTATCCAGTGTGAAAAACCTTCTAGAATGTCGAAGTAAACCTTCCAAAAGGTTCAAGTAAACCTTTCGGAAGATCAAAGCAAACCTTCTCGAAGGTTTTAACTGGGCCGCTAGCTTAGGACCAATTTCGTATATTTGTCATAACTTTTGATCCAATTATCCGATTGAGATGAAATTTTGAAAAAATATAGAGGACATCTAGACCTACAACTTTTATGTTTTTCACCATTTCAATTTCTAAGTGCTTCATGGAAAAAAATGGAGAATACCAAGGTATTGCTACAAAATGGTGTGGGTGCCGGTAGCAATGTTACCAAG